TAAGAAAATGGAAAATCTTGCCGTTCTTTTCCCCACAAGTCCCCCTCCCCCTCCCTCGTTCGCATCCCTGAGAGCAGAACAGCTAAGTGGGCGCCATTTATCTTTCTCACTTGACTCATGGCTGAAATTCAGGGTAGAATAACACACGTATCCTTAGTACGTTTAAAGAAGATTTCAATCAGTGATGAACAACTCAGAAATTCCAGGAATTGGTGAGGAAATGTGTTAGATATAAATCCAAGTAGACATGTGGTTGAATTTTCTTTAAATAATAGATTCACTCTATTCTATCTCTTTAGCCCAGGATATCAACTAAATAGACATTTTGACAGAAGTGAGCTGCATATTTTGGCAACCTCAAACACTTATTTAATAAATGGATGTTAAAAATGATTTGGTAAATGACTGTTGAAGAAGATTAAAGATCTGAAAAACTAATTCTTATTTTCTAAAATCTGTTTCCTACCCAGTGCCGCCAGACCAGCCTCGGCTCACAGTGTCCAAAACCACATCTTCTTCCATTACCCTCTCCTGGCTCCCTGGAGATAATGGGGGCAGTTCCATTAGAGGTAAGAAGAAATAGGTTGTCTGCAATCGTCCATCAGTTGTCATTAGCCACAGGCCGATAAGTGACACACCTTTGATGTGCTAGTTTATTCCTCAAAAAAAAAAATACATCATATAATTAACTCTTCCAGTACCTAAACAAGAAATCACACATCTAGTTTTATGGTATGTGTTGAAACTCATCATTTATCCAAGGAACCCCATTCACAAAATTATTATCATGCATCCAATCTGAGTGAAATATTAACAATTGCAAAAAAAAAAAAAAGCAAAAAGAAATTTGGTAATCTCTCCCCTGAGATTCTGCATACCATTTCTTCCCCATATTGTCAACACTGTATCATTCATTCATGTACTCAATCATTCATTCAAGTAATCACAGTTACTGTTCTCATAAAGTATTAAAAGATGGAAAATGTAGAGTTTAGATGGACAGCGGTCTATTTGCACAAAGCTTTTGCAATGAGTACATAGTAGAAAAGAATAAAGGAAGTTTATACCGAAGGACTGAGATAGTGTGATAATTCTAGCATAAGTGGAGTTGGGAGAACATCATTCTGAGGAAGCTGTAGACCAAGAAAAGGGAGTCAGTCCAGAGGAAGGGGCTGAAGATGCTCGAGTGAGGAGCTGAGTGACGAAAGACGTCCAACAGCGGCTGGAAGAGGATGGCGGGCTTAGATTTCCAAAGGCAGGGAAGTGAGGAAGGGAAAGAAGACAGCTGGAAGTCCAGGGGCATTTGGGGACGAAGCCATTGGTGTGAAGACCGCTCCTTCCAGCTCACGAGAACAAGTTGTGCTGCATCTCTTCCCAGCTTTGCACTCAGCGATATTTACATGCCACGGAAATCAGAAATGCTACCAACCAGGGCTCTTTTGGGTTTTTTTAAGAGCCAGTTGTTAAACATTTATTAGCACTCCACTGGGTGAAGGGGAGGATCTTCCCCCTTTGTCAGGAAAGTAAAAGGTGAGCTTGTTATTTAAACATAGTTGGATGGTTAGGGGTGAGGATGCATCCGTGGGTGTGAGGAGTGTGGGAAAGACTTGTAACAGCTGCCGTGTGGATGCAAAGGGAGTTATTAATAGACGAACAAAGTCATTGCCAAGTGGGAGGGAGGCCCCAGCTGCATGTAAACAACACAGATTGTAGTGGTCACAATCATCACACTTTAATGACCTTCTCACGTGATGCTGGGTAGCTGGGAAGAAAACTGGATCACAGGTGACCCAAGTTGGTGGCTGGCAGAACGTGTTGCAGGAAGACAGAAGAGTGAGTGGAACCAGGCTCCTTACTGGAATGGTCAACCAGAGGTTCTAGGCTGGTTAGAGAACCTTTATATGGGAGGGAAAAATGGGGCACTGAGGGACAAGGTCAAGGGACCCTCATGCTCGAGGCTCAATGCAATGAAGTTTTGGTTCTGTAAGTTTGGCGCATGGGAGAGGTCGTACAGGAAGAGTGCAGAGCAGAGGGTCTTAGAGATGAAGCCAATTTTAGCAGTGAAGAGTTTCCAGGGAAAGGTGTCCCTGAAACACAATGGCAGCCAAAGCCAGTAGAATGGGAGTTCCCACGACTAAGGGTTAGAAAAGCCTCCTAGAAGTGGTTTAGATGGAGGAAATGAGAAGGGGAGCACAACCGCCATGACACGCAGGGCTCCGAGGAGGCAGTTTGGACAGAGCTGGAGTGGAAGTCGGCAGATGACGGAGGGAGCATGGGATACGCAGATCCATCACTCACCTGGCAGGTATTAGAGGAGTGGGAAGGAGTGAAGATCAGGAATACAGAAGAGAAAATGAGGTTCAGGAAGGAAGAGGGGCCCCAAGGCTGCAGAGGACCCGAGGGGAGGGGAGGAGAAAGGAGTAGGGAGGATACTGACCATGGCCATGGATGAACAAATCAGAGATGGGTGATCTCCATTGAGAGGTTAGGGCCCCCTGTAGTATGGACGTGACAAGCGCTTTGCCTATGTAAAAATGGAGTCCACGGTGGGAGAGAAGGTACCAGTCTGTTAGTATAAGGACACAATGCTCCGAGCAGGGGAGTCCTGAATTGCCTGGGTGTGAACGTTTGGGAGACAAGGACAGAGCAGACAGGGTCTGTTTGCCCCCAGGAAGGTGGTTGAAGTAACAGGGCTGGAGCTCACAATAAGAAGGCGTGTCTCAGTGACCACAGGGCAGGGAGCATGGGCTTCAGATGCTGACGGTGGGGCTCGAGTCTTCCCCATGGGACCCTAGAAGGGTCACCTAACCTCTCTGGACCTCTGCGTCTTCACCTGTACTGTGGAGAAAGCAATCATAGTCTCACAGGCGGGCAATGAGGAGCACATGGTGAGTGCTCAAGGAATGAACAGCTGTTGCTAATAGTGGTAGAAGTCGAGGTAACAGGGTTCAGGTGCAGAAATGAATTGCGGGAGGGACTTTTCAAACTAAGGAGAAGCCAGGCTCCCGTTGAAATGCTGGGAAGCCTACAGGATTGGGGGCCAATTCTCTTTGTGGTTATGAACTGAGTAGCGGGTGGTTGAATACGTTCCTACCCCACTGACGACATATCCCTTTTCTAGAGCTTTGGATCTCTTAAATAAGGATTGGGGCACGCATGCTCTGAAGGTCAGATATTTATAGATTGTGTGTCCATTTCCTGATGTCCACTCTGCCTTTCAAAAGGGAACGGGCAGAAAGTGGTTTTGTTTTCACCACAGTACCCAGCAATACCACCACAGTAATTTCCAGTGTGGCCTACATAGCTCACTAATCAACAGGCCATCACACCGGGGTTAAATTTCCTGGAATCAGGAAAAGTTCCAACTTTCTCTTCCGAAGACGTGCGAATTCTGAGAATTCGCATCTGTACAAAATGCAAACATCCTCCAACTTCTGATCAAAAGCAAATGACGTGCTTTTGAATATGTCTTGTCTCCTGAAGGCTACATATTGCAATACTCAGAGGACAACAGTGAGCAGTGGGGGAGTTTCCCCATCAGCCCCAGTGAACGTTCCTACCGCCTGGAAAATCTGAAATGTGGCACTTGGTATAAGTTCACTCTTACCGCCCAAAATGGAGTGGGGCCAGGGCGCATAAGTGAAATCATAGAAGCGAAAACATTAGGGAAAGGTATGTATGCCTCCTTCTTGTTTCTAGATTTGCTCTGTTCTCCAGATTGGGGGTGGGAGGTTGGAATCACAAAGGGTGTCATATATTTGCATGTTTGTTTGTGTGTTTGAACATTCTTTTTCCCAAAATGGGTTCAGCAATGTTATAGCACAATGAGAGAGATGACCGGTGCTTACAGAGTATTCTCATTCTATTTTTTTTTTCAATATTTCATTTGCAATTAAAAAGAAGAGTGTCATTTGAAAATCAATGGTTTTTGTGCCCAGGCTGGGCAGCCATGAAATGTGGCATTTGTGTTCCCTGCTTCTTCTAGCATAACCTTCTCCGTTCCTTACCCCGGAGCCCCTCTACCTGTAGCTCCCAGGTTGCCTCATAGGCCCTGCTTTTCACGTGGAAAGTGACTGGGCTAGATTGTCAACCTTTCATGTGAGGTGTTTTTGTTTGTTTGGTTTTTTATCTGAAACATGGGCCCCAGGGAGCTGAACCCCAGGGAAGTGGCGTTCAGCAGTGAAACTTGCAGCCAGGGAGAGCCCGGAGGAGGGAGGTGAAGAGAGGGTCCTTGTAGGGTTCCCTCACACCTGAATCTTATCCGGTGGGGTGAACTGAATGGCAGGAAAGAGAGAATTGGGAAGGCAAAGGTGTTATTTGGATCCAGCCCCAGTTTTAGATCATGTGTGCTAAGGGTTCAGGTAATGAGGGATGGATTTATGCACAAATATGTCTCATGGAGCCCTGGGAGCCAGTATGAAGCATTTGGATTATGAGGGACACCTGTTGGTACTTCTCAAATCCAACTCTGCCTCCTTTTGAGTCAGGTCCATTGGCATGAGAATAGAACCAAGTGAGCTCAGCTCACTGCAGTGGGTCCTTCAGAACCACTCAGGGAAACACGTATGAAAATAGCCCTGCTCTTCAGAGAACTCTGAGATACACAAAAACAACCTCTACCCACCCGATTTCCCCCTCACACCCAGGTCATCACAGTAGCAGAAGCTCACTGGTGCACGGGGTCCCTGTTAATAGTGGACAAGTTGTGGGTGGCTGTGGCCCACACTGGGACTGAGCGCCCCCCACAGGTGGAGAAAGGGGGTGGGGTGCCGACTCCGCCGCCGGCTCCCTTTCAGCATGCTGCGAGCTGACCCCACGGTGCGTTCCCCCGCAGAGCCCCAGTTCTCCAAGGAGCAGGAACTCTTTGCCAGCATCAACACGACGCGCGTGAGGCTGAACCTCATCGGCTGGAATGACGGCGGCTGTCCCATCACCTCCTTCACGCTCGAGTACAGGCCCTTTGGGACCACGGTGTGGACCACGGCTCAGCGGACGTCTCTCTCCAAGTCGTACATCCTGTACGACCTGCAGGAAGCCACCTGGTACGAGCTGCAGATCCGGGTGTGCAACAGCGCCGGCTGTGCGGAGAGGCAGGCCCACTTCGCCACGCTCAACTACGACGGCAGTAAGCTGGCTGGCTGCATGGCCCCGTCTGTGTCCCCGGGCGCGCGCGCGCGTGCTCACTGTCACTTCCCCATGTGACATTCATCCTTGGCCCAGAGTGACCACTGCCCGCGGATTCCATCAGGCTCCGGGGCCACTCCCTCCAGGGCACTCTAGTTCCTGGTACCCACGTGACCGGGGCTGTGCTCCAGAAATCGGGGGCTGAGGGCCGACGGGTGGCTCGTTAGGGAGTCTGGTGCAGGAGTGATTTCGCTTCGGGCTGCAGGGTTCTTCACCACGTGCTTCTGTTCCTTGTCAGCGACTGTGAATTAACACGGCTTTTGTTGTCTCCCACCCCTCCCCCACCCCATCCCAATCCACATAACAGCTTTCTGTTTTGCTCTCATTAAGCCCTTAAACTGCATGTGCAAAAACAGTTTTCCACGATACAGGAGCTTATGTTAGTCTCTGAATAGAAATAGAGCACTGACAGAAACAGGACCATGTCATAGGCTACTAGTGCGTGTGAGCGCGCACGCATTCACGAAGCTGGCATGGGCGTTTTGAAAGCCAGGTGAGAGGTCTCGTGACGTTTAGCTGACCAAAAATAAATGGCTAATTTTTATCCTTTTTTTTTTTCTATAACTAGTATCAAGGGCCATTTATTGGTAGCTGAACACATGCCCCGCTGAACAAATGAACAGTAGTGTGTAATTGGAGGTTATGTATCTAGGGACCTTGGGATGTTGACGATGTTTCCTGCAGCCTGGCAGTGACTGTCACTCAGGAGTGGCAGTCATTGAATTAGAGGCTCTAACCACAAGGAGGTAACACTGGCTGCAGTTTATCAGAATGTTTGGGGCTCCTGGCTTAGCTCCCCTCAGAGCCTTCTGACCTGACCAGACCAGACCACAGTGCTGAGTGACTTAGCCTACAAAGTCTGTACCTCAGCAAGCACCCCAATACTTTCTCCACCACCACGCAGTCTAAGGTGTGTCCACTTCTCTTTTTTTTGTGCTCTTGGAACCTTGTTTAATCAACGCTCTGGCAGGAACTTCTTTGGAGTGAAGGTTATACTGTCCTAAGGAAAGAAAGTCCATGAACCCAAGAAACAATCTAAGAACCTAACGAGGTGATGGGGCTGGGGTCCTCATGTCATCGTCTTCCGCATGGTGGCCCCTCGGGCCGCTTCTTCCTGCTCTGGCACACGGTGTGACCCAACCGGAATCTCCTGTCCAAGGCCATAGCTTTACAAAGTCCTCCCCAACCAGAGCCCTGGCTCGTCTCCAACATTTCAGGCCGTGGGCCCGTGAATGTAGGAAGGTCCTTTGGTAAAAACGCCCCTGGTATTGGTTATACCAGCCTGAGGCCCCACCTCTGCCGTACACGCTGCCCCACGGCCCTGGAGGCCTTGCACAGCTCCTGCCTGTACAGTAACCTGTTCTCTTCCGGGAATGATGCTTTCCTGACTTTCCAGCTCTCAGTTATGAGTGACGTCACTCAAAGATGTCTCCTCACAAAGCATCCCACAGTCAGAACAACACTCTCGACTTGCTTTCTGGCCAACGTGGTTCAATTCTTTGGTCTTTGGCACTGACCAAACACTTCATTTAGCATTCACGGGTTCCCTGAAGTCCTTTGCTCTCCGGTACCCATTTGGGTAGGAAGTAAATTTCTTACTTTAGATTACTGATTTGCATTAATTGGCCTAGATAACCACACTCCAGCATGGAGCTTGTCTATAACCTGGGCAGATGCCGGAGTACCTAGTGTGCCCATCGGTGATATGTTCACAGCTAATCATTTAATTGGAAACTGCTCACATGCAGAATTTGAAACTGGCTCTAACTCACAAAATACGCTGCAGATTTTAAATGTTTGTCTTCTAACAATAAAAGATTTAATGCTCTCGCTTTATCCAGGAGCTTAGATCATAATCATGAAAAAGTCTTGTGAGCAGCATTTTTCTGAAATCTGAAATGATTTTATGACACTTAGAAATAAGGATACATATTTGTGTTTTTCTTGTGAAAGATTATGGGTTTCTTTGAACCAATTTCATAGATATATAGCTTTAATATCTCTTTTGTCACATCTGCCTGAAGGATTTTCTTCATTTTGGGAAAACAAACATTGACAATTAGCCTCACATCTATACCAGTCAGATCTCAGATTCTTCCATTTCCTTATTTGACTTTTCCTCTGCCGTTTCTGTAGCCAGACATTTCTGCTTGTCCTTGTGGTGTCTTGGTTTTGCAAGCTCATCCTCAATGCATCCCTTATGTGCCTCTTACCTGGGCTCTGAGCATTTGCAGACTTGGGGTTCCAGCCAAAAACACTATAAATTTGGAAGAACAGTCTTCTTGACCATAACAGATTGCAGAGGGAACTGGGGTTCTGTTATCTCTACTGACTAAATGCAAGATCAAGATCATTTTTGCTCAGGGGGAAATAATATTATTTTTGCATTCTTTTCCCTAAATCACCAGCTTCCTGGTGCTTGTTTTACATGGAGAGTAGAGTGGGATGGAGCATTTTACATAACAGAGGGTGCCAAGGTACATGCCCCATGAAAAGCAGACCTCTGTGTCTGGATCTCTGCCCACTGTATTTAGCCTCTGCACAGAAGGCAACTTACAATAAATAGCTCAAGGTTCAATCTGCTTAGGTGCTTCCTTATGATTGTAAATAATCTGAATTTCATAGCACTGTTTAACAGTGTCCGGTCAATAAGTAGCTTGCTTTCACCTGGATGGTCCCCCTTCGAAAAGTTGTCTGTAGCTCTTATAACGTAAAACAAGAGTTTCTAAAGCACATTTGGTCTTACCCCTGTGATAAAAAGCAAGCGAATTACCAAACGCAAAGGGATTTTAAGCTTATTTAAGCCAGTGTATCCAGTGCCGCCTCCCCGCAGACTCTCCCCTGTTCCCTTGCCAAACCTATTGTTCCTTCTTTGATGTGCAATTTTTCAAACAGCCTCTGTCAGTGCACCTCGGGTGACACTTAGTAAATGCATGTGGCTTTTTTAAGCACCTGGCCTGGACTTGATGCTTCCAGGTGCCCCCACCTAGCAGCACGTTGCAAAATGAAGCCTCATTCAAAGAGACACTCTTCACCCTCGGTGCACATCCTGAGCTGATGTGCTGTAGAGTAAGTCCGAAGGTGGGCAGCCGTGGGGGAGTGAGCCTGTAGATAAATTAGCAAGGACCTAGAAAAAGCGTTCCTCTCATTCCCCATCATCTTGGACACCCTTGGATCACACGGCGTGATTGTCGTAACCCGCCATCCCTAAAATCTCCACCATGCTGTCTTCATTAATAGCCACCTAACATCATGGCCCTGCTTTCAGGTACAATCCCTCCACTCATTAAGTCAGTTGTCCAAAGCGAAGAAGGGCTGACGACCAATGAGGGGCTCAAGATGCTGGTGACCATCTCCTGCATCTTGGTGGGTGTCCTGCTGCTGTTCGTGCTCCTGTTGGTGGTCCGGAGGAGGAGGCGGGAGCAGAGGCTGAAGAGGCTGAGAGGTGAGTCTGCTCTGCCCACGGTCACCGGACCACTAGGTCCCCCACCTGCCTGACCCTGGAAGGTGCCTTCAGCAAGACCATAGAGCATTCGGGAAAAACCCAGACACATGTTACCGCTTAGTCCATCAGAGGTTGAGTAAAAGCCAGCCTCTCACCAGTCTCCTACATCCTAGATGTCAGTAGGCAAAGGAAATTATTTTCTCATGGGATTCTCAACCCAACTTTCTTTCATTTTCAGCCATTCCAGTATTGCCACCAATTACGCTTCCTTTGCAAAGACCTATCAGATGTGCTCTGGAAATGAGAACTATTTTATTGGCAGAAAGCAGAAATGGAGGGCTGATGGTACTCGTAAAGCATTGTGAGGCAGAAGACACACGCTTTCCCGAATTAGAAATTTGAGCTGAATCCTGTTAAGAGTAACTCTAAGAAAACAATGATGGGAAACGGGAAGGGAGGCTGGATGAGAGCCATGGTTGCCGGGCACCATTATCATGATGCCCATCCCGATAGGGTTCTGGTGACAAGGCTGTTCCCAGCTCCTGGCCAACAGCCCTTACCCTTGCTCTGTAGTGTGGGGACAGTGACGAAACCCTGTGCAGGACAAGTGTGTCTGAGTCCTTTGCTTTTCACTGTCAGGGCATTTAACCGAGCCACCTTTTGGTAAAAATGCATATACATGTCTTTCGCATTTTCTATCAAGGCAACGTGGAGTAATGTCATGTAGCGTCCTGTACAGTCTTCAAAGTGACATTGGAGGAACAAATTTGGAAGCACCCCACCTAAAACGTATCTGTGATATCCCCAAATGATTTTACTATCATTTTGCTTCCATTTTGCCAACAAATGTAAATGTTTGAAGTCCACTGTACTCGGTCTGCGCACTTTAACTGTTCTTCCATTTAAATCTTCTGCAGCCCAATAATTCAGATGCACCATCAACCTCATTGAAATAGCCTCTCTAGCATGTTAACCACTTATCCTTTAATTTGACAGACGCTGCTTGAGTGAATCCTATATCATAAGTCCCATGCTAGGTGCTTGATGTACAAAGATGGAATGAAAGCCTCTGAATTCTAGGTTTAGTTTAGGAGGAAGACGTATCAGCATCTACCAGGAAAAGTCCAAAAAATGTCATGAATGCTAAAATGGGGCTTCAAACCAATTCTACGTAAGCATAAAAGAGGGTGTGATTGATCCCAACTGGAGAGAAAAGGAAAGGCCATCTAAGAACTACATGAAATAATGTTAAAAAGATATATTATCACCCTATATGTTGAGAAATTCAGTGTAAGGCAAGCTATGTTGGATTTCAATCACAGGCGTTCACCACTAAAATATCAAAGGGACTTCTTTTAACCCTTTCACAGAACAGAACCCCATAGCCTGGACTTTGGGGACATGGTTATTGAGACACCAGTCATAGATGGACCAGCATGGGGGGAGTAGGGGGTGTCTGTCCTTGTAGCATGTAGACAGCCTGATTACATTTAGAATACTATGAATTGCCCAATATAACATTGTTTTAAAACAACAGTAAAATTGTGTTAATCATTTCTATTTGATCACAAGGGTTTGGCAGCAAATGGGGTAAACATCGAGGCATCTTTCCCAGTGTTCTGCCACCCTCTGCCAAATTCACCTTTTCTCCCCCGCACCCCCACTCCCAGGCTCCTGTTGCTTGCCCCCTCCTCCCCAGCTGTTTCTGTTCTACTTACAACGTAAGTGCCCCAATCTCACTTTTCCTTGAAAAGAGCAAGGAAAGGAAGCTAAAGATGCTGCTGACTCTTACTGATGCATTTGGGTCAGACTGATGGTGGGCTTCTGCTCCCTTTATTTTCCTTCTCAACAGTGCCTGTAATTTAGTTATTGCTTTGCAAGGTCTCTGTCCAGAAGACCTGCCGGAACTGGCATTTTTATTGTTGGCACCTCTACTCCCAGACACCCGCATTTTGTAGTGGGTCTTGGCAAGGAAAGCGAGATACATCAGGTCCGCACAGTCTTTCATTCCCTGGAAATGGCTTTGTGTTCTTTGTGCGTGAGAAAAGATAGAGGCAACACCGTTTCAGTGGGAAGGAAGGAACTGCTGGGGCAAAGATGCATTCGTGAGAGAAGCCAGGGAGCAGTGAGGTCCAGGCCGGAGGCTTGCGCGGACAAAGGCATCTGCAGATTGCATTTTGTATGTGCTTAATAACGACTTCGAAGCCAGGAGTCTGACAGGAGGGCAGCAAGACTGCAGAGGGCCAGGTACCCAAGTCCATCCGCTTCCTAACAGCAGATTTTAACGTGGACGTGCTGAAACGCATTCAATTCAACAAGCTATTGTTGGTTATCTACCATGTGCCAGAGGTAACCTTTTTTAAGCCCAATAGCAAAATCTTCTTATTAACCATTTCTATTTGGTCGCAAGAGTTGGACTAGGTCCTGGAGAGAAAAGATTATGAAGCCTCCATCCCAGAACTATAGGCACTAACGCTGTAGTGGCAGCGACGGAAGGCTTGCAAGGGACAGGCTCATCTTCCTAGAGCTGTGGGGAGGATGTCTCAGAAGGACAGAGTAAGTGATGTGGAGTCAATGAAAGGCCAGGCCTGGTTCCAGGCAGATCTTTGTCTTGTAGCCCTGCAGAGCCCCTGACATGACTTAATGACACGAGAGGAAATTGCAGCCACAGAGTTGAATGTAGTAAGTGCCTCTCTATTGAACAGAGTTCGTTCGTAGGATCACCCAGTTACAACCTGACCCACATAAGGCACAGATTCTAGGCCTGGGTTAGAATGAGTTCAAATATGTTGACAGATTCTACAGAAAGACTTGCCTCACGTAATTATTGTCCAAAATGAGCATGTTTCTAACATCCTGTCAGTATTGCCTGAGCAGCCACCAATCAAGATCAAAAATGGGAATAAGAAAATGGGGGCTATAGAAAAAATATCGTAGGGGTCGCTAACGGACCCTGTTAGAGTTACCATGTAAGGTCAACTTCATATTGTTGACCTTGTTTGATTGCTACGAACCACCCAATGTTTATAAGCAGGATACGTTTTACCATATAGACAAGCAACCCAATTAGGTGAATACAATATAACGTTCTTTTATGTAAAAAAATTTTTTTTTAAATAGAAAGAAAATGGGACTCAAGCAATTTAGCCAACCTATATTCTCCCTTCCTGAATACTTGACTAATTTTAGAGCATAGCAGCCTCCTAAAGTCTAAATTGTCTGCAACTGCTACATTTTAAAGAATTCTATCACCTTATCCAGGAGTTCAGGAGCCACACTTTGCTTTTAATGATGCCCTGGTTTCCCCCCACTTCTCAATCCTTTGAGGTACAAGGTTAGAATGAGTCACTGTCTGGAACCAGGAACCCAGCAGCCCTAACCTTATAAAAATTTGATTCCCATGTCAAGTAATGAACTCCAGGTCCCCTAAAAGCTTCCCCCTTTACCCAAGAGGGTGCCCAGGGTCAGCTAGCAGTGCCAAGCCAAAAAAACTACTTCCAAGACTTCAAATAAGCTAAAGATAAAAATCAGTAGATGATACAAAATGTGGCC